TCTGAGTGGATGGCTGGGTGCAAGAAACTTGAAGGTGATTGCTCCTTTGTGAAGGACCGTGTTGTTGTGTTATATAATATCCCCCCGTAGCTTGGGTGGCAGGGTTGGCTACACATCTGAGTTTGTCCACCAGGAAGTGCTTGACTACCTATCTCTATTCGCGGATCCCGGCAAGATGCAAATTGAATCGGACGAGTTTGTACACCCATTGGACCTTGTCATGGGTGCTTTTAGAGATGATGAAGCTGCAGCATGCACTTGTCGCAAGCTTCACACCTTCATGGAGGACCTCTTCAAGGTGCATGGGAAGAGCTTTCCGAGAGCAACAGGGGAAGCTACTCAACCCAACTATGGACTATGCATGTATTGTTTATGTCCAAAGTTTTCTTTTGTATGCAAAAACATTTGCTGTGTTAATGGACCTGTATCAGACCAGGACCTGGCAACAATGGCCAGATCCACTCGCTTGACAACAAGGGTGCCTTTGGATGCTATCCACATCCGCCCACCAGTTGATGGGCTTCCAGTTGTTGAGGACTTCCTGACATGCTGCATAAGTTTTCTATTTTCTGGTTCTCGCCTTGATCGAGAGCCTGTGGACCTATGCTTGGATGAACATATTCCACCTCCAGAGGAAGGCTACGCTTACAGACCAGTCCTTTCAGTGAAGAAGGGATTCACACGCTTGTTGCTTGGTTTGATCATATGTACACCTTTTCTTTCCTTGTCAGTGTTGACTGTTCACTGGTGACATTTTGACGTGGTTTTCCTCAGACTATTCAGGATGTCTGGATTGTTCCTGCTGCTTGTTGCATCAGACCTTGACCCAGTACTTGCGAAGGACTGCAGGGTCATCAAAGCAGGTGTTATCCATGAAAATCTAATGTGCTGTGCTTCGAGTTGCAGGATCTATTGCTGCCTTTGCTCCCAGCGATCATTGATGTTTGGAACTTGCCAGCCTGTGTGACCAGTGGCCAACCACAGGAAGAGGTTTCCTTCGAAGCTATACAGCTTTCTTGCCAGGGCGCAGAGAGGCAACGCAAAAATGCACCTTGCTCGACCCCGCTGTCCTTTTTTTTGTTGCGTCGTCTTTCTCTAAATACTATGTTTTAACAATTTTTGGCACTCTGGGCCACCGTTTTCTCCACAGCTCAGGCCTTACAAATGAGCTTGCGTTTCGAGAAGTTGATGGCTGAGCACCGCCTCAATTCTGCAGACGCTGACAAGACAGAGGTGGAGTTGCTCCAAATGTTGGTGGAGAGATACAACTCATACAAATCAACATCTGCCATAAGAAAGTGGCAAATTACAGATGATATGCGGAAAAGTATTGAGGGAATAATCATCGGTATGACCTCAAGAACCAGGCAGCTCATCAGGGCACACTTGGACTATAACAAGTGGGAAGAAAGTGGCCACTGGCCTGCACAATACATTGGTCCTTTTTCCCTTGTATTGAAAGGATGTTTGTATTGTTTTTGTGTTTTCTCAGTCAGGATACAACGAGTCGCTTTTGAAAGCGAAGCGGCATCAGCTCCATGAGTCACCACGAGGGCTGACACCCTTCTGGACACAGATCTTGACAGAAACTTTGCACTGCATTGAGTTGAAACATTTTACTTTGTATTTTTGAATGCAAAGCACCAAGAATTGTATGGGTGTATATACGAGTATATA